TTGTCAAGTGGTAAGAAAGTGCAGCTAATACATCAGCCTTGTAATAGGATCTGGCATGACTCACTAATTGGGTGCAGTTCCAGTGAGGTGATGGTGTTTGGGCTTCCTGTTGTCTAAGAGATACAGTAAAAGCTACAAAAGCCAAAACCAGTCAAAGGGAGATAGATATTCATGTCAGGGAAGGAAAATGCAAATATTTTCTGCTAATAGGGAGCAATCCTCAAAAGAATTGGGAAGCGATTACATCTTGTCACAAGTGGAAAATTTCCAAAACCTGGAAAAGCAAGGTAGTCCTGTTATGTTCGAGCTATCAGTTTTCACTGTTGTTGTTGTTTTTTTGTACCATGGAGTCACTGACCTCATAGCTGACCCGACTTCGGGTTTTCAGAGGCAGTTAATCTCATGAAAGGAGATTGCCCATCTTTCTCCTGTGGAACAGCTGGCGGATTTGAACCACATGCCTTTGAGGTTAAAGTGCAGCTTCTTAACCACTAGGCCACCAGAGCTCCTATTTTCATGGCAGTAGGATCCACAATCATGAGATTGGATATGATTGGTAGGACTTAAAATCTTAGATATTTTAAAAATAACTTAAGTCCACTCCCAATTAGACATGTTTTTATTTAAATAACGTGCAATAATATGTTAATGTTGATACATATATACAATGTTGTTGTTGCTGTTATGTATCTTCAGAGTTGTAAACTGCTAATAGTTGGCACTTCAGTGGGTTTTCAGAGTCTTTAAAAATTGCAGGGAGGAGATTGCAAAGTCTTTCTCCCGTGGAACAGCTGATGGATTCCAACCTTTTACCTTTGCACTGGCAGCACAACTCCTTATAATTAGGCCACGAGAGTTCCCCATACAAACAGTATGTGTATAATTCTACATATATTATTAGATATGCATACTTCACATATCCATATATATGTTGTTGTTGTTGTTGTTATGTGCTGTCAAGTCGCCTGTGACTCATAGTGATCCTATGTACAACAGCCCTAAACCCTGTTCTATCTTATTATCTGGCTCTATCAGTGACGATCTTATTGTCTCTGACATACCTACCCCCATCACACCAGTCACTGATTCAATCCATCTCATTGAGGGTTTTCCTTTCCTGCGCTGTCCCTCCACCCTCCCAAGCATGACGTCCCTCTCTAAGGACTGATCCCTCCTTACAACATGTCCAAAATATGTCAAATGAAGTTTCAGAATCCTTTCCTCCAAGAAGAATCCTGGCTTCACCCTCTCCAGCCAACTTGTTTGTTCTCCTTGCAGTCCATGATATATTCAGTACTCTTCTCCAGCACCACAGTTCAAAGGCATCGATTCTCCTTCTATAATCTCTAATCTTCCAGTCAGTTGGCCAGGTAGTTGTCCTCCAGATTTCTTGGCACAACTTGGTGAGTGTCTCTTTGTTGAAATATGTCAGTTGGTATGCCATTCATTCCTGGGGCCTTGTTTTTTGCCAGTTCTTTCAGAGCAGCTTGAACTTCTTCCTTCATCACCACAGGCTCTTGCTTATACGGTTTTTCATGAAATTCTTCTGTGTCCACCAACTTCTTTCAGTACAATGACTCTGTATACTCTTTCCATCTTCTGGATCATTTAATATTCTGCCCAAAGCATCCTTAAGTGTTGCAGCTCGAGGTTTGAATTTGTTCTTCCGTTCTTCAGCGTAAGAAATACAGAGGGAGTTTGGCCCTTTTGATTTTCTGACTCCAGCTCTTTGCATATTTCAGTGTAATACTTTGTATTCCTGCACTGCCCTGTGGAATTTTCTGTTCAACTCCTTAATATCTTAATTTTCCCCCTTTGCTTTGGCTTCTCGGTGCTCTAGTGCAATATTCAGAGTTTCTTCTTTTTTTCCATTTTAAAATATGTTTATTTACAATGAAATCACTATAGAATTGTGCTGACCCAGCAGACATTTTATTTCTTAAACCTGACTTTTCCCAGCTCTGTTTTGAAGTTTTGTGAGGAATCCCAAGAGATTCACTTGTATTTTAATATTAATTATGGATGCATATTTGAACTGTCTCCAAAGACCTATTGCAGGTTATTTTATTTAAGTTGTTATTAGTAAAGTTTGTCAGATCTATTCTGACTCATAATGACCCCGTCTGACAGAGTAGAACTTCCTCTTTGGGTTTTCTTGTCTATAATCTTTATAGAAATAGAAGACTAAGTCTTTCTCCCAAGCAGCTTTGGGATAGTTTCAAACTCCCAGTGTTTAATTAGCAGCCCGGTATGGCCACAGGTAAAAACCTGGAGCCAGCTTTGAGTTGTGGAAACCCATGCCCAAACTGGAGGTAGGTGACCACTGTGAATTCAGCCTTTCTTCTCTCTCCTCTGACTCTCCAGTGCTTCCTCTCAACTTTGTTTCAAATGGTCTTTTAAAGATCCATTTCAACTTTCTACTGTTGCACTGACTCATGCTCAATTTTCCAGCCTCCAATCAATTTCACTTCCAATAAATAATTATTATTTCTTCCTTACTTATTTCCAGATGATTCCCAATTTGGTTTCTTTCTGAAAACTACTTAGACTTTCTCTTTTTTTAATTGATTAATAAACAGAGACTTTGGATTTCCATTCATTCATTGTTGCATTTTTCTCCCTGCCCACCTTCCCACCTTCCCACCACCGCCAGTTCATTCTTCTCTGTGAAAAGTAAAAGACAAATTCTTTCATTGGTATCCAGTTCCCCCCATCCCACTCCACTATGCAGCCTTCATTCTGGACTCTTGTCATGATAATAATACCCATATATGCCTTTTAAACAGTTTTCTCCCTCATCTGACATTTCATCTTGGTCTTTTCTTCCTCCTTTGTCTTTGCAATGAACTTTTACATTCTTGCTGGGTGATATTCTTGATAGCCTCCCACAGCTCATCCAGTCTTCACTCAAACCTGTTCCTGAGATGGTTTTGAAATTCAGGTGGGATAGATGCAAGGTCAAATTTTGGTTCCTGTGGACTTGATTTCATTTTCCTCAGTTTCAGCTTGAACTTGCATATGAGTAATTAGTGGTCTCTTCCACAGTCAGCACCTGGCTTAGTTTTCATGGATGAGATTGAGCTTCTCCAGCGATTCTTTCCACAGATGTAATCGATCTGATTCCTATGCATACCACCAGGCGAAATCCATGTGCATAATCTGCATTTATGTTTCTTATAAAATGTATTTGCAATGAATAAATCGTTGGTTGTGTAAAATTCTATCATTCTATCTCCAGCTCATTTCTGTGACCAAGTCCATGTTTTCCAACTGCTGATCCTTTTCCTCTGTTCCTAACTTTTGCATTCCAATCACCCATTATTATGAATGCATCTTGATTGCATGTTAGATCAATCTCTGACTGCAAGAGTTGGTAGAAATCTTTTTTTTAAAATTTATTATTAATGTCAGTGAAAATTTACAGAGACTTTGGATTTCTATTCATTCATTGTTGTACTTTTCTCCCCTCCCAGCACTCCCCCCCATAGAAATCTCTATTTCCTCCTCTTTGGTTGTTGGTGCATATATCTGAATGATAGTGGTATTCACTGGACTTCCTTGTATACATATGGATAGCACCTTGTCACTCATAGCATTGTATTTCAATATGGATCTAGAATTGACTTTTTTAACTATGGCGGCAACCCCATTTTTCCTCACTGAACTAAAAATGTCCAATGCCAGTCCATCTCATTTTGCCAATACCAAGTATGTCAATATTTATGTGTTCCATTTCTTCCTTAGCAATATCTAATTTTCCTACACTCATGGCTCTCACTTTCCATATTCTAGATATAGTGTCTACTTACAGCTGTTCCTCCTCCTATGTGTTCCCATACTTGGGGGCTCTATCGTACATAGGTTTTCAAAGGCCTGCTATTTCAGAAGTGGATGGCCAATCCTTCTTCCTAGTCTGTCTTAATGTGAATGTTCAGATTTAGAACAGACAAGCATTTATCTGACAGACAAGCATTTTAGAAAGAAAAGCAGATTAAAGATATTTCCCAGTAGTAGAAAAAACTAGTAGATTCTCTGTTGTCCCCACCCCTTTCCCTGCTCCACCAGCATTCACTTCTTCTCCCACCTCCTCCATTCAACATCTATCTATCTCCCCTATCCAGCCCTTATGATGGCCTATATGTCAACCTTTCTGATCTTCTGTGATTCTGAACGCCTCAAGCTGCTGCCAGTTTCTTATGCTGTGGGCAGTATTTCTTGAGTTTAGGAGTCTTGAATTTCTGCTCCAGGATTGACTTCTTGTGCCTTAGGGCCTCCTCTCCTCCATTTATGCTACAGTAGTTTCCCAGGGGAGGCTGATATATCCTATAGATTTGGTATATAATGTTGTCTTCCCGAAGGCCTCCGAATTTGCAGGTGTCAGCCTTGACCTGCTGGCTTCTGTGAGACATAACTACACAATAAAATATGAATATAAAATACAGTTATGATAGAATACATCAATAATGCATGTTATTTTAGTTTAACAAAAGGTTGCTTGCATTTAAAACTTGGTTTTTGACTTCTGCAAAGGGCCAAGAATTTAGACCTAATGACAATTTATCGCTTTCTCTTCCCTGTATTATGCACTGGACTGTTAACTGAAAGACTGGTGATACATATCCACCCATAGGTGCTTCGGGAGGTAGTGCTGGTGATCTGCTTCTGAAAGGTCATCGCCTTGAAAACTCTGTGAAGCACAGTTCTGTTCAGGCACACAGGGGCTTGTCATGACAGGAGCAGATGAGGTGGCAACTAACAACAGCAGACCTATGGTGCCACCTTTAGGAAACATACAGTATTGTACCAAGAGATGTTCTGAGATCCTCCAAGTTTATACTAATTTTAATGTCCTGTAGTTTTGCTGCCTCGGTTTGCTATTCATTGCCATATTTGTGAAATTGTGTGCATCTAAATATCTGTAACTTATTTCATAATGATTTGTTATCTAAGTGAAGACGTAGATATGTATATTGACATTCTTGACATTTTCAGTTTTGCAGAACACTGATGTCTATGGACTCTAACATGGACTTCATTTGAAGAAACTTACGGACCATTAAAGGACAAAATATGAATCAGTTTGTACTGTGGCATTCAAATCATAGCACTTCGGGAGAGGTAAGTTCTTGCTTGTGTTCTTAGGTGAGAAATACAGCAGTCCTGGACTGCCTGAGAAAATGGTGGTTGAAAAACATAGCCTTGAATATCCTTATATTATTTTAATAAAGAACTTTCAAAGAAAAGTTTATTTTGTATCTATAAGGCAGTTGTTAATATTTCCCCATCAAATTGATCAGAAATTAAAATTACTGACTGTATTGTTTCTGGAAGCTAACTGCTCTGCTTTCTTTTCTTTGAATGATCTTTCATTTTTGTAGATCCCAGTGGAAATAAAACAATTTGTGAATAGACATTTAAATAATCTTACATCAGAGTTTGGCTCTGTAATGCTCTATGTCCCGCATTTTCTGATCAGTTGCATTTTATCCTTAGGTTTAAGTAAGAAAAGAGACCAAACTAAGACAACAAACAAAGGAACTCTGGTCTTTACCCCGCCTTAATCCTACCTTATAAATGCTCTTCTGAAAAAAAAAAATAAAAGACACCAAAACAACCAAAAACTCACGTGATTTCTTCTTCAAGTGTTTTTGTCCCAGGGACCAAAGATTTTCTTTCTACTATTTTACCTTTTTTAACTTAGCTGTCCATTAATTTGCAAAACCTTACCGCCAACTTTGTGTTAATGTTTAATGCTTTCAAAATCACTAAATGTTAAACTTACAGCATTTCCTGGTGACCTTTTTGTTCAACTCTGAAAACAGACAGTACTTCTGAAAATTCACCCTTTAAGTATGCATGCAGAAATTTACATATAAAGCTGTTTATCACAATGTTGTTTGAAATAACATAAAAGTAGAAGTAATCTAAACATGTGCTAATGGGAATCTGGTTAAACACAATATAATATATCCAGATATTTTGTATTTGTTAGAAAGAATGATCCTCTGTTGCTGATCACAAAGAGTCTCGAAGATACATTGCTTGCCAAGAAAAGACAGTAGAAAACTATGTGTGGTGTATTTCTGTTTTTTGGATTTAAAAGCACAGATTTACATAAGAAGATACACACTTTCTTCAAACCTATGTACAGAGCTGTTGACTAATGTATCCCTGGGGTAGAAGACTAGAAGTGTAGTTAAGGAAGGAGACTCATATTTTTTTTCTGGTGGATTGAGTTATTTTACTATTTTACTAGCATCCATTTATTTTTATACTACTAAGGAACAGGCAAATGGAAACGCATTAGAATAATTTAATATTTATATGAGCCTGGAGTCCCCGTGGTTCTCTGACATACAGAATTGATGGTGACTGGAGAGAAAAAGACACTCCTGTTCCTTAAGACTTTTTGTTCATACAGCTAATTGAATTATTTAGGAGTGGGGTTCCACAAGCAAATAAATTATGTTTTTAGAGTTGTATATAATGTTTGTTAATATTTTAATTGGCTTTTAACCTTGACATTAGATTGTTAAAATTAATAAGGATTTGTGAATGAATGAACCAAGGAATTCTGGTGATACTGTGGTTGAGTGCTTGCGTGCTGACCTGAAGATTGACAGTTGAAAACCACTAACAGTTTTATGGGAGAAGGATGGAGCAGTCTGCTCCTGTAAAGATTTACCTTCTTGGAAATCCTCTGGGATAGTGCTGCTTCATCTTACAGGGTTACAGTGAGGTGGAATGAACTTGAAGTTGGTTTGTTTGGGGTTTTTTTTTTGTTGTTAATAAACTATGTACTTAGGAGGTTCTAAATTTAATACTCATGTAGTATAACTAGAATGTTGCTGACATGACAGTTTGGTATGGATGCTTTTACCGTCATTTGCTGTCTACCTTGGCTGGCTCTGCAGTATTCCTGTGTGGGATGGTCTTGCTCTATTTGCATTTCTGTTTAGGGTCTCTCTATAAACAAGACTTAAAAGAATGATTTTGCTTTTTTCTTGATGTTTAGAACTGGCTTAGAGCATTTCAAAGAATGCCTTGTTCTCTGATAGAAAAAAAAAATCAGTAAACCAAAAAAGATCACTTAGTAAACTCTACATGCTAATCCCATTTTGCCCCAGGAATATGACTTTTAATTGACTGCTTGTCTGCTTTGAGGCACAGCAGATATTTCTGGAGACATTTATTTCTCTATCCACCTTTGACTCTTCTTACTTTCTTTGTAGGAAATTTGGCGTCACCGTAATAGCTGAGTAAATTATATGTAATAACATTAGTGATGTACATAGGGTTTTCAGAGGCCTGCTATTTCAGAAGTGGATGGCCAGTCCTTCTTCCTAGTCTGTCTTAATGTGACTGTTCAGATTTAGAGAAGTATCAGATAGACCAGCAAGTTAAAGGCATATCCCTTATTGCGGCGTTAACTTTAGTGTCAGTGTTGTCCCTGCCTTTCTCAGACGCGTCTTTACCCACTTATTTTCCTGCTCCATCATCCACCAGGATACCCAGCCACTTCTACCCCCTCCCTTCACATCTATCTCCCTTTGACCAGCCCTCCATCTAATAACTTATATATGAAGTTCCATGGCTTCTGTGATTCCAAACACATCAGCTGATGGTAGTTCCTTATGTTGGGATCAATGTCTCTGAAGTTTAGTCATAATGTTTCCCGACTAAAGGTGAGGCATCCTGTTGAACTGGTGTGTAGATAGGCTTTTCTTGTGGTTTTTTTCTTCTTCGATTACCTGGGGGAGATGGGAGGGGTCTCTAAGCTGCCCAGCCTTCAGCTTGTCAGATGCCTACCCCTTCCTCTGTGCGGCCAGCCGGAATGAATGTCTCGCGTGAAGAGATTGAGATTGTACACAGCTTTAGTTTGCTTGGCTCCATAGTCAACAGTCTTCGCACCAGCAGCCAGGAAATTAAAAGGCGCATTGCCATGGGAAAGTCTGCTGTTAGGGACCTCTCCAAAGTACTGAAGAGCAGTTGTGTCTCTCTGGAGACTAAGGTGCGGCTGATACAGGCTTTGGTCTTCCCAATCACTTGTTATGCATCAGAGAGTTGGACAATTACTAGGGAGGATAGAAGGAGAATTGATGCCTTTGAGCTGTGGTGCTGGAGAAGAGTATTGAGAATACCATGGACTGCTAGGAAAACAGATTTGTCCTGGAAAGGGTTAAACCGGGTGGCTCCTTGGAGGCAAGGATTCTGAGGCTCCGTCTAACATACTTTGGACATGTTGTGAGGAGAGACCGGTCCTTGGAGAGAGACATCATGCTTGGGAGGGTGGAGGGACAGCGCAGGAGAGGAAGGCCCTCTATGAGGTGGATTGATTCAGTGACTGGGATAATTGGGATGGGAGTGTCAGAGACAGTGCGATTGGCACAGGACAGAGCGGAGTTTAGGGCTGTTGTACATAGGGTCGCTATGAGTCGCAGGCGACTCAACGGCACATAACAACAACAACAACAACAATATTAGTGATTGTCAGCAGAGGGATTTATTTGAAGATTTCTCAAGACTGGTCTATGTATGCACGCATTTGATAGCCCTCATTGTGTATCTTGTTTAATTGTAATGAGGGTCACTGATGTAGGTGCTGAGTCCTGATAAATGGAATAGGACGTGATCTGGAACATTGGGTATTTTATGGTATATCAGAGTATTTTGTTTACAGTCATTTCTGTTAATTGATGCCTTGCTTCTTAAAATCCTGAGGTTTAATCAGTAATAGCCAGAAAACAAAAACCTTATTGGGCAGGATGCCTCGATTATGATTCTTTATTCTTGCTAAGACAATGGAAACCAGTGAACTGAATCTCAGGGTAGGTTGTGCTTTCCTGAGTCAAAATGCTAGAACATGATAAAGGTGGCTTATAGAAAGGAAATGTATAGAAACATGAAAATTACATGAAGTAAACAAAATTGGTAAAATATATGTGTAAAATATCTTTCTAATGTATGTTGTTGTTGTGTATTGTAGAGTTAGAACCGAACATAGCTGACCCTCCGATGGGTGTTCAGAAGCATTTAATTGCATGGGAGAAGATTGCCCATCCTTCTCCTTGCAGAGCAGCTGTTTGAGGTACAGACCATGTACCTTAGAGATTGCAGCCCAGCTTCTTGCCACTAGACCACCAGTGCTCCCTTTTAACATGTTGTTGTTGTTGTGTTGTTAAGTGCTGTCAAGTTGCAGGCGACTCATAGCCACCCTATGAACGAAGTCCTGGACACCTCCTGTATAACTTTCGTCCTTTCTCCAGGTTCATAGGGTTTCCAGAGGCAAGCTGTTGTGCAAGTGAATGCCACTCCTGCTTCCAAGCTTGTCTTAATTGAGGAGCTTCACCAAACACTGTCCACCATGGGTAACCATTCTCACATTTGACTCATCAGTGTCACACTGTTTGGCTTCACAGCAACCACGAGTTACCTCTGTACAGCAAGTGGACAGACCAGGGTTACACGACCTAGAAGAATGTTTCCACCAAAAACAATTAAAGGCAGGCCCGAGGACTGCTCTCTCTCTCTCTCTCTCTCTCTGCTGTTGTTGTTGTTAAGTGCCATCGAGTTGCAGGCGACTCATAGCGACCCTATGAACTAAGTCCTGGACACCTCCTGTATAACTTTCATCCTTCCTCCAGGTTCGTAGGGTTTCCAGAGGCAACGTATTGTGGAAGTGGATGCCACTTCTGCTTCCAATCTTTTAATATACAGATATATTTTAATATATGCGTATGAGGTTTTTATTTGTTTGTTTTTATGTGCTATGAAGTTGGAACCACCTCATAGCTAACACTCTAATAGGTTTTAAGAGACTGTAAATCACATGTGAGTAGGTTACCCATCTTTCTCCTGGGTAGCAGTTGCTGAATTTGAACTGTCTGCCTTCGGGTTGGCAGTGCAACTCTTTACCTGCTAGGCCACCAGAGCTCCAATGTATGTTGAAGCTGTGCTGCAATCCCATAGGCACGTGGTTCGAAGTCTCCAGCTGCTCCAAGGGAGAAGGATAGTCAGTCTCCTCCTATGTGATTTACTGCCTCAGAAAACCCACTTGGAGGGTCAATTATGTGTTGTTTCAGACCTGATGGCACACAGTGACAACATGTGTGTATATA